TTGCATTTGATTAATGGAGTTCTAATAAGGAAGTCCTCACACACAATAGCGAAATGGTAAGTTTGCTAAAATAAGATTGATGTAAGTAAAAATTTCTGTAAACAATATTGAGATGACCCCCTTGTTCTATTCAAGTTTATTTAAATAAGTCTCCGTATAAATTTTATCTCTATTTTGCTTCTTATAATTTGAAAATTTATTTAAACAAAACTCATCGCTCTAATATTCGTTTAATATCAATAGAAATTCTTTGCACGTAATATTTAATGTGAATATAAATTTATTTTAAAATTTTTGGGCTGCCATGTTAACTACCACATGCCATGAATTGTATAATATATGTTTTGTCTTTTAGAGATTTGAATAGAGTTAAATATATTTTTAATGAACTTTAGAAAAATGAATTTTTTATAACAATTAAGCAATTCTTCGATTAAGAGATTTGGAATAATGGAAGAGTTGTTGTGGGTGTGGCATTGGATGAAAAAGAATGGAATTGAACCAGGTTTCTATACATATAATTTTCTAACGAATGGGCTGTTAAATTCCTTGTTTATTAAATATATAGAGAAGGTTCTTGAGATTATGGAGAATGAGTTAACCGGAGATTATATACAGGTCGAGAGCTTATAGAGTTTTGTATTTAAGATAGAGAAAGGCTACAAAAAAAGAGAGGGGTGGGGAGGCGATGATGATGGAGAAGAGGACGTTAGAGGCGGTGATGACCATGTCGCAATAAATACTAGAGTGAAATATATGATAATGCAACATCTGGCATTTGGAAACGAGCAGGCTATCAAAGCATAAAGACATATTTTTCCATTGTTTACATGGAATTAGTGTATTCACGGTTCTTCTTATTTAATACATAAGTAAAAATATAAAGAAATGATGATAGATACATTAATCTAAGATTCAAACAATGATGGAAGACAAATTACTCACACGTAAACTCAACATTTAGACCTTATATTATGTACGATAGTTTAACAGGATATCAATATATTAAAGTTTGGGAGAAAAAATATCATCCTAAAAAAATGAGATAAACTTACCCAATAGAACACTAACATATTAAATGTAAGAATAAAGATATCTTCCCAACAAGATAGGTTAGATAGAACTTTGATAAACTAGAAACATTGTATTAACAAAACTTGATGTGAAATTAGATTGACAGTAGTCACTTGACAGATAAAAATGAGTCCACAACTGAAGTACAATGAATGGGCAATTACCTATTGTATACTATACAGAAAAAATACCCCATTAAGTAGTTATATTTATATACTAACTTATACTCTGGAGTTTACATATACTCATAATTGCTGTTATAATTGAAATTGAGAAGGATTTTTTTACTGTAAAAATTGAAAAAAAAATGAATACTAACTAGTTATGTTCTATATCCATTTTGAATTTTCTTATATCAATAGGTAAACACAATTTGAAATTCAATACAAGAATGGTCATAAATTTATAGTCAAGAGTTAATAATTCTACTTTGTCTTGAAGTTTTGCTTTTGTGACTGAAAATTTACATTTTCTTTTTCATTAAAAAAAGAGGGGGAAGATTTTCATCTAGTTTGTATCGTTTTGGCAATATGGCCAAGCGGTAAGGCGGGGGACTGCAAGTCTTTTTTTTTTCCAGTTCAAATCTACGTGTCGTCTGATTAACGAAAGACTCGAAATCTCCTATCTTGTTTTGTTGATATAACTCATCAAATTTTCCCCAGCAAAAGTAAGCGTAGGAAAAAGACTTGTGATACTTTCTTGATTCTAAACCTATGGAGGTTCTGTTCTTTGAAGTGTTATAAATTCTTGCGTATAGGATTCAAGGAAAGCTTAGAGTAGTGGAATAAAATCGGTAAATCTTGATATGATCGCCTTTCTACTACTAATGTAGTGTCCATTGCTTGAGTCTTGAATCTTGAATTCGATTGGATATTCAGAGGGGGAATCTAATTAATAGTCGTGGAAAGAATAGAAGATGTTTTGTGTACAGACTCATGAGGGTTCGGAGTGCTCAGGCATTTATTTAATCAATATTAGATTATATGGATAATTAATTTTTACTTTATGTAATGTAGGGCAACAAAAAAATCAAAAAGAGATAAAAAAATTGACCCTTAAATGAATAAATACTAACTTACCTTATAATGGATAGATAGTAGACTATTTTTTGGTGGATAGGTTTAACCATTTGTGATGGTAAATGGATAATAGTTCAATATGGTGGTTGAAGGATTTACAACCTTAATTTATTAGCCAGTTGAGTTTGAAGTCTTCTCAAGCTTAAGCTTGGGGAAAGAATTAAAGACATTATAAACATATTTTAATTTGCAAATACTATCTTATTCACTTTTTATCTAACTGATGTCAAAATTATAATTTTAAAGAGATTTTATGATTCTCTTAATTAGTTAACTTCAAGTTTAAAGGTAACTTTTGCCAAAAGTAGCTTGATTGGGGTGGGAAATAGATAGAATATGGTATTTTTACTTGTAAAGTGCTTGAAGTGTCAAAAGTCTAGCTTTTTTCTAAATATCTTGAGCTTTTATTAAGAGCTCACTTTATATTCTTTATTGATTTTGCAACCAATTTTTAATATGTTGACATTAAAGGTATTCTTATGTAAATTAAGATTTTTCTTTGTGGATATAGAATTATCTTAATTCAGTTAATTCTTACTACTATATCTATGTTTCTTCATCTCAATTCAAAATTCTTGTGGGTTAGCAAAAAAATGAATATATTATTAAGAGCTCCTTAACAGGTGAACAAGGAGGATATAAGAAACTTTATTATGCCAGTTAGCTAGAATTTGTAGAAGTAAGGTATTTGAGGGTTTTAGATTTGAGAACATTTTAGGTACCAATAGAAGTCTTTTGTTAAAGTAGTTGTGTTGGTTTAACTATTCTTGTTATTTATAAGGTTTATGGGTTTCATGTTATAACCCACATGGTCTTTATCTTTCCTTTCCTATTATAGAGCAAGCTTTTAGGTTGTGGAGAGACATTTTGACGTGCGAAAAATACACTAATTCTCTAGATCGATAGCTAACGAATTATTTGAAATTTATATTTGGAAATGGGAGGAAAGTGTTATTCTCAACAAACACTTAGAATAACAAATGTGCTCCTGAAGCTTCTTTTCTTAAGCATTTTTCATCTGGCTCAATCTAGATCTATCGGCATTTTTTGTTTATGATCTCATCATATTCTTAATGGTTTTATGACTAGATGGGGGTTTTCATTTTGGAAGAATATCTAATCCTTGCTTTTTTTTCGCTTGACTATTAATGAAGAAGCATTTGTAAAATGTCTTTATTAGGTGTAGGTAAAAGTGTTATATGTCTCCGATGAAATATCATATTCTTGGCATCCTTCATGCACACACCTTTCATCAAGAATGTGAAAGTCAACAACCCCTTATAATTGGGCTAGGTGGTGATACATTAAAATCAGTTATGTTCAGTAAGGATAACATTTATGGTAGCAATATAAATAGGTTTACGACATTGTGGTGCTTTTTGACCAATATATAAGTCGTTATACTCTGATGATATGGTATTTTATTACATGTTATTGTACATGTAGATTGCACGTTGAGAACCTATATAGAAATAATACGGATTATTCGTATAAATTTCGCTTTTAGTCAACAAAATACACTTTTATTTTTAAAAAATTAATAACACCTCAATTCAAAAGTCTCTTTATCTTTCGTAGAGTTTATGAATTATGCATCATGACCCACACAACCTTTGTCTTTCCTTTTCTATTTAGGGCAAATTTTTAGGTTGTGGAGAAATATTTTGATATAGGAGGAATGCACAGATTCTTTAGGTCGGTTGCTTACGAACTTTTTGAAATTTATGTTGGAAACAAAAGGAGAGTGTTATTCTCAACAAACACTTAATTTGTTAATAAGTGTGCTTCTTAAGCTTCTTTTCTTAAGAATTTTTTATCTAACTCAATCTAGATTTATCAATAGTTTTTATTTATGATAAGATAGGGTTCTTAATAGTTTATGACTTTAAATATTAAGATTTTCATTTTGGAAAGAATATCTAATTCTTATTTTTTTGTTGCTTGACGACCAATGAAGAAATATTTATAAAATGTCTTTACTAGGTGTAGGTGAAAGTGTTAATTATATCTTCGATAGAATATCATATTCTTGGCATCTTTCATGCACACACTTTCCATCAAGAATGTGAAAGTCAACAACCCCTTAAATAATAAGGTTAGGTGACAATACATTAAAATCGATTATGTTTGACAAGGATAACGTTTATGGTAGTAATGTAAATAAGTTTACGCTATTGTGGTGCTTTTTGACTAAGATATAAGTTGTTATGCTTTGATGATGTGCTATTTTATTGCATGTTATTGTACATGTAGACTGCATGTTTAGAACCTATATAGAAATAATACACATTATTCGTATAAATTTTAATACACATTATTTGTATAAATTTCACTTTTAGTCAATAAAACGCACTTTTATTTCTAAAAAAGTAATAACATCTCGATTCAAGAGTCTTTCTCTCATTTGTAAAGTTGATAGATTATACGTATTGACCCACGTAGCCTTTGTCATTCCTTTTCTATTTAGGGCAAGCTTTTAGGTTGTGGAGAAACATTTTGATATACGAAGAATGC